AGTCTGGGCCTCCTTTGGGGGAGATCATGGAGCCCCCTGGCCGATGGCCTGGGCCTCCCATTGTAGAGCAATCATGGAGCGATGGCAGGGCCCCCTGACGAATCGCATTACAGCCACCTTGGCAGCAGCAGTCAGTGCTGGGTCGCCGCAGCAACCATGACCCAGGAGGGACCAAGAGGTCAGCAGTTCAGCCCTCTCGCTAGTCCCTACCCTTTCAAGCTGCTGCATGTGCAAACTGGCATTCAGTTGTCCATTCAGTTGTTTTGGAAATTATGGACCCTGGCTCTTTATTTATTAGGATAGATATAGATAGTGAATTTTCAGAAAGAGACTAAAACACAATCCATTTACCATCGCAACAACAACAAGATATCTAGGAATAAACTTAATCAAGGAGGTAAAAGAACCACTGTATTTTTCCATGAATAAGGTGCTACTTTTTCTACAAACAGGCTTCCTCTAATCAGGAGCCTTATTGTTACTGACATCAACTGATGCCACAATTGGAGGTGGAGGTAAAGAGTGCATAGATGCAACAGGGATGGAAGCTTTATGAGCCCATAAAGATTCCAAAAAATAAAAAGATACCAGTAAGCTATTGTCTTACTCTGCAAAATTCAAACTGAATGCAATTAGCCATGCAAAAGAGAATGGAAACGGAGCTGTAGGGAGACAATTTGGACCTCCTCACACTGAGTGTATAATCAGATAGCAGAGAAAACAGAAGAACAACTCCTTAACATGCCAAAAAAAGAAGAAAGCCTTTAGAGGAAAACAAGCAAAATGGGCAAACTCGGAGTAGAGGCTTAAGACTTGGATTGTGGAGCAATGCCAGAGTGGCTTATGTGTGTCACTCAAACTTATTCAATGTCTAAGCAAGAATGTTTGCAAGTGAAATGAACATTGTTGATTTTGCACGAAAGGCAAAATGGTGCTTCAATTTCATGAAGAGAGAAGGCTTGGCCATGAGAACACTAACAAGTTAGCTGAGAAAATGCCACCAGTTTATGGGAATGATTGCACATATATAGACAGTGACTCAGAAGATAGCAGTGATACAATAAAAGTTAAGAAATTGAATGTCTAGAACTAATAGTGATGAAGAAGAGAGCAGCGATGCAACAGAGGCTGAATAAAGTGATATGCGGCATAATATCACAGTACTAGTATGTCAACATTACCTGCGGTAATCTACACTAATAAAAAAAAAGAAAGATGCAAATTGACCATACCTTTGCGATGTCCACCAGCCAATCAGGAGCAAGTATGCAAATTAACAAAACAAAAAAAAGATGGTGTCTTGCCTATGCAGGCGCTGAGCAACTGGGGGTGGAACACTTGTGTCGCTGCCATGGCGACAACATAGGCGTTCTACACCACCCCGGGTGCACGGGGAAGGGTAAAGGGTAGGAGACTGTGTGTGTGTGTCCCTCAGCCCAGCCTGCACCCTCTCCAATCTGGGAACCCTCGAGGGATGTCCAACTGCCAATTTAGGCTGGCTCCCAACAACTCGCCTGCCTCCTGCCCCCAACCGCTTCTTCCTGCCAGCCTGATCACCCCCTAATCATTCCCTTGATGCCTAACTGCTCCCCTGCCAGTCAAATTGGCCCTAACCGCCCACCCCTGCTAGTGTGGTCACCCCTAACTGCTGTCCCCTGCAGGCCTGTTCCCTCCCAACTGCCCTCCCCTGTTGGCCATCTTGTAGCAGCCATCTTATGTCCACATGGGGGCGGCGATATTTGACCACATGGGGGCAGCCATCTTATGTGTTGGAGTGATGCTCAATTTACATATTACCTCTTTATTATATAGAGTAGGGGTGTCGAACTCAATCAGAGAAGGGGCCAAAATCTAAAATCCAGCCTAAATCGCGGACCGAATGGTTTACTGAACAGTCATAAACTGTCATTGTGATGGAAACGCAGCGGAGTGCAGTGATGACAGCGCGGTGCGGGCCACATTGCAAGGCCTGGCGGGACGGATTTGGCCCGCGGGCCTTGTGTTTGACACATGTGATATAGAGGGATGAACTGGGATTTACTCATGATATGTAAGGTTGGCTGATTATATGCAAATCACCTAACACAATATACTACATAAACAAAATGAAGGATAAATATCATACAATATCATCAATAGATGAAGAATAAGCATTAGAAAAAACCCAGCATCCCTTTATGATAAAAACTCTCAGTACATTGGGAATAGAGGGAATATACCTCAACATAATAAAGACCATATAGACAATCCCATAGCTAACATTATTCTCAATGTTAAAAATTTAAAAGCATTTTCCTTAAGATCAGGAACAAGATAAGATAGATGTCTACTTTCACAACTTTTATTCAATATAATATTGAAGTTTTAGACACAGGAATCAGACAAGAAAAAGAAACAAAAGACATGCAAATTAGAAAAAAAGTAAAACTATCATTATTTGAAGATGACATAATACTATACAGAAAGAAACCTGAAAGTTCCCACCAAACTACTATTAAAACTAATAAACAAATTCAATAAAGTAGGAGGCAAAACTAATATTCAGAAATTAGTTGCATTTTTATATACCAAAAGCAAACTACCAGAAAGAAAATTAAGAAAACAATTGCATTTATAGTTGCATCGATAAAATAAAATAAAATATTAGGACTAAATTTAACCAAGAAGGTAAAAGACCTGTACTCAGAAAACTGTAAGACATTGAAGAAAGATATAGAGGATACAAATAAATGGCAAGATATGGGTAGGAATCAACACTGATAAAGTACCTATACTACTCAAAGCAGTTTACAGATTCAAAGCAATCCCTATCAATATACCAATGACATTTGTCATAGAATAAGAACAAATAATCCAACAATTTATAATAAAAAGACTGAGAATAATGAAAGTAATCTTGAAAAAGAAGAGAGTTCAAGTTATCATGCTACTTAATATCAAACCATGCTACAAAAGGCTATATTTATTATTAATCAAAACAGCATGGTATTGGTATTAAAAACTAAAATTAGCTCAAAGAATCAGAATAAGAAGCTCAGAAATAAACCCACATGTATGTGGTCAATTAATCTATAACAAAAGAAGAAAGAATATACAATGGGGAAAAAGACAGTCTCTTCACTAAATAGTGTTGGAAAAAGTAGACGGGTGCAAGAAAGTACCTTGATCATTTTCTTACACCATATACAAAATAAACTCAAAATTAATTAAAGACTTAAATATAACAACCCAAACCATAAAACTTCTAGAAAAAAAACACAGTAAATTCTTTGACAATGCTCTTAGAAATATTTTTGGATATTATCTACTCAAGCAAGAGAAACAAAAGACAAAAAAATTAGACTACATTAAACTAAAACATTTTTACAAAGGAAACCATCAACAAAATGAGAAGACAACCTAATGAATCAGAGAATATATTCTCCAATGATACATCCAATAAATGCTTAATATCTAAAATAGAAACCAAACTTATATAACTTTGCACTAAAACAAACAATCTGGTTAAAGAATAGGCAGAAGACACAATATAATACATAGATGGTATATTATATAATTGTACACCTAAAATCTGAATAATTTTATTAAGGAACTAGAGGCCCAGTGCATGAATTTGTGAGGTCCGGCTGGCCTGCCCTGATTGGGGGTGATTGGGACAGGCTGCCTGGGGACAGAGGACATAGGAGTTAGCTGGCTAGCCCTGCCTTTGGTCAGCCTAATATGCAAATTGTCCCTTCAACCAGGAGTTCGAGCAGGGGTTAGGGCCAGCCAGCAAACCGCCAATGGGCCCTATCCCAGGGGCAGGGCTGGCCAGGGGTAGGGCCCATTGCTGGTTTGCTGGCCAGCCCTAACCCCTGCTCAAACTCCTGGTTGAAGGGACAATTTGCATATTAGGCTTTTAAATATCTGTGTTTTCTGATGGTCTTAGGCGACCCTGATAGCGGTTCTCAACCTGGGTTGAGAACTGCTGCCGTAGAGTCTAAGACCATCGGAAAACACAGATATTTACATTACAAATCATAATAGTAGCAAAATTAGTTATGAAGTAGCAACAAAAATAATTTTATGATTGAGGGTCACCACAGCATAAGGAACTGTATTAAAGGGTTGCGGCATTAGAAAGGTTGAGAACCACTGCATTAAGGGATGTCTAACTGTCAGCAGTTAGACATCCCTTAGGTGGAAGTCGGACATCCCTCTTGCAATCCAGGACCCCTCTTTCCTTACTGCCCACCTGCCATCGCCACTGTGCTTGCCGGCTGTGAGCCTGGCTTCTGGCTGAGTGGCGTTCCCCCTGTGGGAGTGCACTGACCACGAGGAAGCAGCTCGATTTGAGCATCTGCCTGGTGGTTAATGTGCGTCATAGTGACTGGTTGTTTAATGTTCGGTCGATTTGCAAATTAGGATTTCATTATTTTAAAATATTTATTATTTTACTATATATACACACACACACACACACACATATATTATAGTGCTAAGTGGGTATTAAACTTATTGGATCTCTAGAAATTTATATAAATGTCTAAGCACTCTTTTGTATACTTGAAATTTAATATTAAATGTCAACTGTAATTTAAAAAGTAAAAACCTTTTTTTTTAATTAAAAGAAATTAAAGTAGTATCTGACATAATGTTTTTCTCAAAAAGAGTTTTTATCACATCTATGTTTTATATCAAAAAGAAATGAGGCTTCTCTATAATATACTGTAAAGTGAATGTAGATATAATCTACCTAGCAGTTAGATTACATTGAAAATGTTGCAAATACAATACAAAGACATATGGTTAATTTTAAATTCAGTTAGCATGTGCATTTCATAATATATATATAAAATGTACACTATTAAGTCTCTTTTATCAAGTACTGATCAGTTAAATTCTTTAACTGACAATTTTCCCTAAAGCATACACTCAATTCAAATTGTTATCTGTGAATAACAACTGAGCACACAATCAAGACAGAAATCAGTTATATCTGAATCAAATTTGGTACTTACTTTGATTCTGTGTAGGTTTTGACTGACTGGAAAGGTCTTCATTTTCTATATAAAAATTAACAAACAAGAAGTTAATTTCAAGTTTTAGTCAAATTATTTAACACCATAATAATAATCAGCAACTGGAGCCAAATAAAGAAAAATCCAGGATATGTATGTATACTATGTTAGGAAAAACCACTTATGCCAAGAGGAGCTGGGGAGGAAATAAGAATCATAGTAATAACTATATATAGAATAATAGGATCATGAATAATTGATCCTACAACACCTGCCACGTTGCTCCTTCACTTGTAAGGTTTTGAATAAATATTGTCATATTAAAGATACACTAGAAGCCCGGTGCACAAATTCACGCACCAGTGGGGTCTCTCAGCCTGGCTGTGGGATTGGGCTGAAACCAGCTCTCCAACATCCCCCATGGGGTCCTGGATTGCAAGAGGACATAGAACAGGCCAATGGACCCCACTGGTGCACTATTGGGGCCGGGGAGGGAGGTGAGAGGTTGGCCAGTCAGGGAAGGATCACAGGAGGGCTCCAGAGTGTGTCTGGCCCTTCTTGATTGGTCTCAATAGGCCGGACCCTAGAAGCAAACTAACATACAGGTGTCTACCCCCTGGTGGTCAATGCATGTCATAGTGAGTGGTTGAGCAGCCTTAGCTTATCATTACGCCTTGATTGGTTAAACGACCAACTGGCCGACAGGACACTTAGCATATTAGGCTTTTATTATGTAGGATTTAAGAATACTTTTTGGAAAGATGATTGGCTACATAAACCATCCAAAAGAAAGTGTAGCCTGTATATGGAATGCAGAGAGGAGCCACTGGCAAAGCTAACAGACAGTCCCTTCTGGGGACCACTGCCACAACAGCGGAACAACTCTAAAGCGGAAGGCAGATGTATGTAGAATCCACTCCTATCCGAGGAACCAATTTTGCAAGCCATGTAGATCATCGAAGAAAACAGAAAGTGGCCCTGCCCACTTGTTGCACTCAGTTATGAAAAAGGCTCTATGCTAGAAAACTACCCTAGTTTGGACTGAGTTGAAGCCCATGAGACTGATAACCTAACCAACACTCCTTTGCACCCACCATGGGAAACTATTGGTCAAAGATAAAATAGAAAAAAAATACCTCTTATTGCTTGACAGTAACTGTCCAAGAAACCAATAATTCAACATGCATAAGATCAAAAGGGAATACACAAGCCCTGTCATGGTCAGCCAAAAACAAACACACACAAACACACACACACACACACACACACACACAAACAACACCACACACACGTAACTTGTTTAAAGAACTTAATACAAACGAACAACTGGGACAGATGATGTCTATCAATTGGAGATGCAATAAAAGAAAAAAACTTTAAAAACCTATAATACAAATTAAGAATACATATAACATTGTAAGATATAGCAGAGAAGGTAAACACTTTATAAAAATGTGACTCCAAATTACTAACTATAAAGAATGGTGAAGATTATAAATATTATCAAAAGCTAAATAAGAAAAATAAAATTGCACTGAAAATGGCAATACTGCAAAAAAATAGATATCATACATGGATAAGTGACTTAGAAGACAAATACAGTGCAAAATAAGAGTATTTGAGAAAAAAGAACAGGTGAAAAACCACTAATTAAAGGAACAATAAAAACAAAATTTCCTAAACCTTAAAGACTTGGAGTTTAACTAGCCAAAGGGCTTACAGAGTTATAGGAAGAATTATACACCTAGACATTTTGTTGAAATATCTGAACTCCAAGATCCAAGGCATTTCTGAACTCTAAAGATAAGGAAACTTTTATTTGTGAGATTTTAGAAAGAAACTAAGGTTCTGATAGAGAAAATAAAATGAACTGGAGTTGGTTTCTCATCTATAGCACTATATGTGTCCTTTTTGAAGAAAGCACTTGAAACATTTTCCATTAAAAGAAAATTAGAATGAACATATCAGGAAAGGAAATCAATGAACAGGAGAAATAGTAAGAAGCCATAAATTCAGAGGCTCAGAAGTAAAAATGCATAGAATTCCAAGAAAAGATAAATGGATTAAAAAAAAAAGAGCAAATATGAAGTCAAATGATGGAGTGTAAAACAACCTTTTTTTTTTTAGAGGTAATGTATACTGACAACCATAAGAATATGAAAGTGATCACTAGTAATGAAAGATAAAATTTTAAAGCTAAAAAACTATTATCTATATACCAGAGACCTGGTACACGAAATTTGTGCACTGAGGGGTGACCCTCAGCCCAGCCTGCACCTTCTCCAATCTAGGATCCCCCAGGGATATCCCTGCAGGATCGGGAGTAAACTGACAGTTGGACATCCCTCTAACAATCCTGGACTGCTGGCTCCCAACCGCTTGCTTGCTTGCCTGCCTGCCTGCCTGCCTGATCAGCCCCTAACTGCTCCCCTGCCAGCCCTATTTCCTCCAACTGCTCTCCCCTGCAGACCTAATCTCACCCACAACTGCCCTCCTCTGCTGATCTGGGCACCACAGTGGAAGCTGTGCAGAGCAGCAGCTGAGGGAACTCTGGAAAAGCTGCAGGGAGCAGCTGAGGGGACCTGCTCCCCTACGGGCTTAGGAATCTCCAGCAGCAGGCATGGCCCCTGGCATGGCTGCAGGAACCACAGCAGCAGGTGCACAGAGGGGCTGCCAGACCTCCTGAACCCACAGGACCCCAGGAACTATGATGGCAGGTGTGCAGAGCAGCTGGACTTGCACCCGTTGTGCACGCTACCATCTTGTGACAACGTTATGGCATAAGGGTTAACTTGTATATTACCACTTTATTATATAGGATATACTAGTAAAACCCTAATACGCAAGCAGAGCGAATGGCAGAACAACTGAACAACTAGTTGCTATGACATGAACCAACCACCATGGGGTGTGTGCAGAATATGGTGGGCATCAGCAATAGCAGGATGGTGGAGCAGTTGAGTGGGGACACCAGACCAAGGCAGGGTGCCAGTCGCTGTCAATAGGCAAGCCTCTGGTGGTTACTAAAAATTTTTTGCTCTCATGCACCATAGTCCCACTGGGCACTTGCACCTTCTGCCGGTGCCAGCCTCATTTGCACCTGTAGCTGGCACAGGAGCCACCATTCACACCTGCTTCATACATCTGGCACCAACCCCAATCGCTTGCCACTGTCAGTGGGTATAAGAGGTGGCTGCCAGCCCCCAACACTCCTCAGGACTTCTCGACCTCACCCTGCTCCAGAGGGGCGATTGGGGCCAGCAGCCTCTTCTTATACCCTCTCCCAGGGACCACACTGCTTGCACCCGCAGCCAGCTCCAGAGTCACCACTTGCACCTACTACCAGGGCCCAGGACCAGTCTCAATTACTTGGCAATGTCAGCAGGAGCAAGCAGCAGCCGCCAACCCCAATCACCCTGAGGGTTTCTCCACCTCCCAAGTTCGTGAGGGGTGATATGGGCAGCAGCTGCTGATCGCACTTGCTGATGGCACTGGACTCACTTGCACCCCTGATGATGTCAGCCTCCAATTACTTTGCGCCATCAGCGGGTGCGAGCAGGGCTGGTGCCATCAGCGCATGGGAGTGGCAGCAGCAGAAGCAGGACTGCCAGGAGACAGGGAACCAGGGGCCATGACTGGGAGGGACCAGCAGGGTCGTGGAGGATGGACTGAGACACCCAGCCCCTGTGCCCACCGCAGCCCCGCAGCCTCGTGACCCACAATTCTTTTCTTTTTTCTTTCTTTCTTTCTTTTTTTTTTTTTAAAGATACAACTTCTAGCCGAAACTGGTTTGGCTCAGTGGTAGAGCGTTGGTCTGCGGACTGAAAGGTCCCAGGTTCGATTCCGGTCAAGGGCATGTACATTGGTTGTGGGCACATCCCCGGTAGGGGGTGTGCAAGAAGCAGCTGGTGAATGTTTCTCTCTCACTGACATTTCTAGCTCTCTATCCCTCTCCCTTCCTCTCTGTAAGAAGAAAAAAAAAAAGATACAGCTTCTATTTATTTATTTTAATTAAATTATTAGTTCCTTTCAAGGTGTAAAAAATTCATCCACTGGGTCCCTAGCATAAGAATAATAATGAAAAAACAGTAAAATAGAAGGAAAAAATAAGAAAATTTTTTTAACTTTACAGTTGTTTGAAATTCCTATTAAGTCTCCTCACTGACTTAATAAATAGAATCCATTTATATATAATTTGTAAACCAAGTAACCTACCAAATAAACAAATCTCAAAAATATTTGAAAATATGTAAGAAAAAACTCTTGTAAAAATAAAAACAAAAATGAGTTAGGACAATATTAATAAGGCCTGGTAAAAGGAAATATTATAAAGTATAACTCAGCTGACTTTGTTTATGCCTAGGAAACTCAGAATACTTTGAAGATAAAAACAGGCCTAAGATAAAGTGTATATTTGTGGGGAAGAGACAGCTATATATACCCCAAGAGACTATTGAAAAGCACTGGACCAGGCTCCCCTGAACTGGCAGCCTTCACTGCTGCTGAAATCTCTCCCAGAGTGACTGGCTCTGCCAAAGAGACCGCACCATCTTGAAAAGGAGAGTGGCTAATATCTGGGTACTCTACAACCACAACACCTAGGCAAAAGCTGTGAACCCAGGAACACGGGATCTCAAGCAGTGTGAATACACGGACTCAGATGAGCTCTGCACCTTCTCATGGAAAGGTCAAATTTCCCCTAAGGAAAGGAGAGAGATACATTACCAGACACCAGAAGAAGAGAGATCATGGGGTTACAAAGAAAAGCCCACATATAAAAGAAAAGAAGGCATCAATAAAATGGAGGCAAGCAATATGTCAGAGAAAGAATTCAGAGAAATGGTCATAAGATGGATGAAAAGAATGGAAGACAAATTCAACAATATGTGTAAGAACCAACATGAAATGAAGAACTAAGAAGAAATGAAAAACGACATAGCTGCTATAAAGAACTCAATAAAAAACATCAACAGTAGACTAGAAGACACAAAGGACTGCATCAGTGAGCTAGAAGGTAGGAAAAAATACCCAGGCAGAGCAGCATC